AGCAGCAGCAGCAGCAGCCTCCCGCAGCAACAGATGCTGAGGGCGAGGAGACACCCTAAACCATAAACCGTAGGCTGCAGTTGCTGCTTTAGAGAGCAGCAGCTTCATGCATAGAAGCGAAACTGCATATGATAACGACTCATGGATAAGTCGGGCATTTCTAGGGTTTAGGGTTTAGAGCTTAGGGTTTAGGGTTTAGGGTTTGGCCTGGGGGTCCAGCTGTCTCTCCACAGACTTTGTCTAGAAATCTCACATGCCTTTGTTTGTCTTTTTAATATTAATTATTTATTTTGCCTTCTGCTTATATTTATATTTTCTATCTAATCACGCTCATTAAACCTCAGGGTTTAGGGTTTAGGGTTTAGGGTATATAGTTAAGGGATTCATCAGATGTATGAATATTCTCTGCAGCAGCAGCAGCAGCAGCAGCAGCAGCAACAGCAGCAGCAGCAAACCTCACAAGGTCTGCAGTGTACAGGGAGATAAGATGATAGAGAAGAGAGACAAATAAAAGATAAAAATTATGTTTACTCAGCAGCTGTCTTTTGCTCGGCTTTGTTTATATTATCAACGCCTGGGGATTCTTCACCATTGCATTTATACATCATAACTTTTTAAGTACATATATATATATATATATATATTATAGATATATCTTTATATATGCATCAATATATATATATATGTTAATGATATGTTTAAGCATGCATATAGATATATATATATATATATATATATTTAATAATATGTTTAAGCATGCATATAGGTATATATATATTTAATAATATACACTAGATATATTAAAAACCACATATATTAAATATATATATATATACATATATATACATTAATATATATAATATATATACGTATATTAATATATATATTAATATTTATAATAAAATATATATATAAATATATATAAATAAGATAAACTGATGGAGTCGAACCGCCAGCCTTTAGATATCTCAGCTGTCTCTGTTTGTCTCCTTTGTTCTTCTCTCTGTCTCCTTCCTTTCATTGTCTCCTTCTGACGTCTGTCTCTCTGTCTTTTATGTTTGTTTGTTTGTCTTTCTTGTTTGTTTGTCTGCTCTCTCTGTCTCTATTTGTATCTGTCTATCTGTCTCCTTCACTGTCTCTATTTGTCCCTCTCTCTCTGTCTCCATTTGTCTCTCTCTCTCTCTGTCTCTATTTGTCTCTGTCTATCTGTCTCTGTTTGTCTCTGTCTCCGTCTCTATTTGTCTCTCTCTCTCTCTCTCTCTCTCTGTCTCTGTCTCTATTTGTCTCCGTCTCTGTCTCTATTTGTCTGCTTCGTTTTGCTGCACCACTATAGATTGTCTTAAGAAGCATCTGCGCTGCCGCATGTTGGCAGCAGAGAAAGAAAAAAGAGTCCTTGCTGCTAAGCATTCTACTGCAGCAGCAGCAGTAGCTGCTGCTGCTGCTGCTGCTGTTGCTGCTGCTGCTGCTGCTGCTGCTGCTGCTACAGAAGCTAGCCCGAAGGAAATGATATTCTTTAAGAATAAAATGTAAGTACGGAGGGAGGCTTTAAACGGTAGATAATATATGCAGCTGCAGCACAAAGAGACAATGTTGTCTCCTTGCTGCAGCAGCAGCAGCTGCAGCAGCACAAAGAGACGGTGTTGTCTCCTTGCTGCAGCAGCAGCAGCAGCAGCAGCACAAAGAGACATTCTTATCCCCTTGCTGCAGCAGCAGCTGCAGCAGCATTAGCAGCAGCATTAGCAGGGGGAGAGACAAGATTGTAATCTCCTTGCTGCATGAGCAGCCGCATAATCATAATCATTATCATCATCATCATCATCATCAGCAGCAGCAGCAGCAGGAGAAGCGCGTATAGGCGATCAACGAAGCGTCTCCTTACAAGAACATGTCTCTAATAAAGAGAACAATGAAGAAAATAATATTAAATTAATAAGGGGAGTAGCGTGCAGCAGAAGGACCCACTGAGGGGCCCCCTCCATAGAAAGCCCCGCCAGGCTGATGAGACACCGGAAGCAACGCCTTTAATGCTGCAGCACCCATACACAAACAGCAGCAGCAGCAGCAGCAATAGCAGCAGTAGTTGTAGCAGCAGCAACAATAGCAGCCAGTAGTTGCAGCAGCAGCAATAGCAGCAGTAGTTGCAGCAGCAGCGGCAAAAGCAGCAGTAGTTGTTGCAGCAGCAGTAGTAGTAATGGTTGTAGCAGCAGCAGCAGCAGTAGCAGCACTAGCAGCGCAACTAGAACCCCACAGATGCATGCATGCATGCATACAAACGGTTGAGGGTTAGACAGCAAGAGAGAAGACAAAAGGAGACACCAAAGAGAGGCAAAAGGAGACAATTAGAGATAAAAGGAGACAGTTAGAGACAAAAGGAGACAATTAGAGATAAAAGGAGACAGTTAGAGACAAAAGGAGACAGCAAAGAGAGACAAAAGGAGACGGTTAGAGACAAAAGGAGACAGCAAAGAGAGACAAAAGGAGACAGTTAGAGACAAAAGGAGACAGCAAAGAGACAGAAGGAGACAGTTAGAGACAGAAGGAGGCAGTTAGAGACAAAAGGAGACAGTTAGAGACAAAAGGAGACAGTTAGAGACAAAAGGAGACAGTAGAGAGACACACCAGGGGTCAGACGCAAATCTTCTCCCTTCTTTAGCTGCACCTTCAGATGCTTCCCCCCAACTAAAAACCCGTGCATCCCCCTAATGGCATGCACAGCCTGCAGCAGCAGCAGCAGCAGCAGCAGCAGCAGCAGCAGCAGCAGCAGATACGCAACACCATTCAACCACCACACCCGTCTCACCACTCCCCTATCTGCAAATCCTGCAGCTCCACCAGCAGCAGCAGAAAGCAGCAACAGTAGCAGCAGCAACAACAGCAGCAACCGCAGCAACACCAGCAGCAGCAACAACACCAGCATCAACAACAACACCACCAGCAGCAGCAACAACACCAGCAGCAGTAGCAGCAAAAACACCAGCAGAAACAGCAGCAGCAACAGCAACACCAACAGCAGCAGCAACAGCAGCAGCAACAGCAGCAGCAGCATCAACAGCAGCAGCAACAGCAACAGCAGCAGCAACAGGAGCAGCAACAGCAACAGCAACACCAACAGCAACAGCAGCAGCAGCAGCAGCAGCGCACGGAAGTTTGATCAGCAAAGCTGACGAATCCAAACCCCCGACTTCGCCCCTCAGAGTCGCGCTGAATGCGAGCGGAGACAATGTCTCCAAAATGTTGAAAGTGCTGCAGCAGCAGCAGCAGCAGCAGCAGCAGCAGCAGCAGCAGCAGCAGCAGCAGCAGCAACAGTAGCAGGAACCGCAGCAGCACCAGCAAAGGGCAGTAGCAGCAGCAGCAGCACAGAGAAGCAGCACAAGCGTCTATTAGATGCAGCTGCAATATTTTAGAGACAGCAACAGCCTCCAACTGTCTCTGTTTATTAACTGTCTCCTTCTGTCTTTGGTTATGTCTCTCTCTGTCTCTCCCTATGTCTCTATCTTTATTACCTTTATTATGTTGAATATTATATTTATTATTTATCTTTATTATGTTTTTTAGCTTTATTATCTCTATTAATATATTTAAAGATTATATATATACATTCTTTAATCTTATCTTTAATATTATATGATCTCTAATATCTTTAATATTATCTTTATTAATATCTTTAATATTATCTTTATTACTATTAATATATATTATACATATATATATATATATATATATGCACACATATATTATTATCTTTATTAATATCTTTAATATTATCTTAGATATTATCATATTTAATATCTGTACTATAATATTTTATTTTATTGTCTTTATAAAGACATACTTCTATTAAAACAACGTCATTCCCATCATTAAGCACTTTGTTTTCTTTATTAATATATATATATGTATATATATACATATATATGTATATTAATATATATATGTATATTAATATATATTTATATGTATATATATATAATATATATTTATATGTATATTAATATATATATATATATATGTATATTAATATATAAATATATACATATATATATTTATATGTATACTTATATATATTCTTTAATATTATCTTTAATAATATATTTATTATAATATAATATTTAATTTATAAAGACGTACTTGTATTAAATCGACGTCGTTCCAGTCGTTAGGCACGTGAAAGACAAACAAATTTGCACCTGGGGGCCCAAACTGCGAACCCGACTCCCTGGAGCTAGCAGCACGTGCTGCTGCTGCTGCTGCTGCTGCTGCTGCTGCAGCTGCAGCAGACGGCTGAGGCTTGTCTAACTCCGCTGGCCTCTCCCACTGTGTCACCCCTAAAGCAGCAACAGCAACACCAACAGCAGCAATAGCAACAGCAGCAGCAGCAACAGCAGCAGCAGCAACAGCAGCAGCAGCAACAGCAGCAGCAGCAGCAGCTATACGAGAAGAGACAGAAGAAGAGGCAGAGGCATTTAAACATAATAACAGAGATGTAGAAAGGAGACACAAATAGAGTTAGCAGCAGAGACAGACAAAAATACAAAAAAAGCAAAACTGCTGCAGCAAACGACAGCAGGAGACAGAGAAAAGAAAAGAGAGATAAAAGGAGACAGATAAAGACAGAGACAAACACAGATATACAAACAAAGAGAGAGACAGAGACAGAGACAAACAAAAATAATATTCTTGCCTGTCTGCACGTTGTAGTAATACGCGTGCCCGTCGTGGGTGAAGTATTGCTGCCAAGGGGAGTTCGGCCCAGGTGCTGCAGCAGCAGCAGCAGCAGCAGCAGCAACAGCAGCAGCAGCAGCAGCGACAGCAGCAGCAAAAGGAGAAGCAGCAACAGAAACGGCAGGTGGGTCCGTTGCTGCAGCCAACTAGGCGCAGCAGCACATCTAGGGTTTAGGGTTTATGCACTTAGGGTTTAGGGTTTGCACTCCTAGGGTTTAGGGTTTAGGGCTTAGGGTTTACGGGCATTTGCAGCTTCTTTCTTCTCCGCCTCCTTCTTTGCTGCTGCAGCACTTGGCTTCTGATTAGCCATGCGACACTCAGCAGGACTTTCAAATCCCTGCAGCAGCAGCAGCAGCAGCAGCAGCAGCAGCAGCAGCAGCAGCAGCAGCAATTAGAACAGCAAGGGGTAAACGCTACTCCGAAAGAAACAAGCAGCAGCAGCTGCAGCAACAGCAGCAGCAGCATAGCAGCAGCAGCGTGGATGCCCACAGCAGCAGCAGCCGACGTAGCAACATAAAAAACACCAGCAGCAGCAACAGCAGCAGCAGGATGCAGCAACGAACAGTGGAGGCCCAGAAAGAGAAGCGGAGAGAGCTGAATTAGCAGCAGCTGCAGCAACAGCAGCAGCAGCAAGACGACCAAACACAAAAAGGCCCCCATGCGGCCATAGCAGCAGCAGCAACAGCAGCAGCAGCAGCAGCAGCACTGCCGCAGCAAGAGCAGCAACTGCTGCACTCAGTAGAAAATGCAGCATCTCCACCATCACCAGCAGCAGCCGAATCAGAAGCAAGCAACCAACAGCAGCAGCAGCAAGATAAGCAGCAGCAGCAGCAGCAGCAGCAACAGACCTCGAAGGTGAGTTGTCCGTCTATGCCTGCAACAGCACTTTGAGCTTCTGCTGGGGAGCAGAAAGTAACGAACGCCCAACCCGTTTGCTGCTGCAGCTGATCAGCCATGTAGAACAATGAAGCTACATGCCCGTACTCCTGCATCTTAGAACGCAACGCATCCTGCAGCAGCAGCAGCAGCAACAGCAGCAGCAGCAGCAACAGCAGCAGCAGCAGCAACAGCAGCAGCAGGGGTAGTTGGAACAAGAGCAAATGATATAGCAGCAGCAGAACTGCAGCAGCACGAAAAAGCGCTAAGAATTTACTAGCCGATTGCACGAATGGTGCTGCCTTTGCAACAGCAGCAGCAGCAGCAGCAGTAAAAGCAGCAGCAGCCCCCACAATTGCAGCAGCAGCAGCAGCAGCAGCTGGACGCCTCACCTCTGTAAGGGTGTGGGGCAGTTTGCCCACGAAGACTTTGCAGGTTGATGCCGCCATGGTTGCAGTTTCTTCTGCTGCTACTACTGCGTTCTGTTGCTGCTGCTGCTGCTGCAGCAGCACTTCCTGCTGCTGCTGCAGCGAACCCTTGCTGCAGTTGCTGTTGCTATTGGTGCCGCTGCTTCAGACGCTGATAGCGGCGGCGCCTCTAAGGAACTGCACGAAGAGGCGATAAAATATATTGAAGCAACAGTAGCTTCCCGCTGCTGCTGCAGCTGCTGCTGCTGCTGCTGCTACTTGTCTGCTATAAAGGATCTGGGGCCAGCGGACCCCTAAAGGCTCTCAGTTTAGCTAAAGAGGAAGCAACGAAGGGGCTAAGGTGGGGAGGACTCGCTGCAGCGGCTGGAGCGGCTGCAGCGGCAGCAGCAGCAGCAGCAGCAGCAGGAAGTGCTTCTAGGCCTGACAAGGTAAGGAGCTGAGGGCTCTATGAAGAGGGAGATAAAGAAAGAAAGATCCAAGAAGTCTTGTATTTGAAGGTAGTGCTACTATAGCTGCTGCTGCTGCTGCTGCTGCTGCAGCTGCTGCTGTTGCTGCTACTTTGCTGGCAGGGCTGCTGCTGGTGTTGGAGGAGCAGGCGCAACTGCTGCAGCTGCTGCTGCTGCTCCTCAATTCCTTCTTCCTTATAGCAGATAAAAAGCTGCAAACAAGTTAAGATAAAGAACGAGCAAAGGGGCTCATCGCGCTGCTGCAGCACGCACTGCATGCAGCAGCAGCAGCTGCTGCTGCAGTGGCTGCAGCCAGCAGCAGCAGCAGTCAAGGCGACTCAAGCAGCAGCAGCAGCAGCAACAGCAGCAGCGGCAGCAGCAATGCAGCAGCAGCAGTAGCAGCACAATTGGGCCTCCATGCTGATAATTCATTACATATTTGAGTTAAAGAAAATATATAACAGGAAATAGAGAAGAAGACAGCAACAACTGCAGCAGTAGCAGCAGCAGCAGCAGCACGGTCGGCAGCAGCAAAGGAACGAGACACGCTGCTGCTCGCTAGTACTTTTATTGCTGCTGTTTCCTCCGCTTGTAGCAGCAGCACAACTTTATTCATACAAAACACCTGCTGTAACAGCAACGCAGCAGCTGCTGCAGCTGCTGCTGCAGCTGCTGCTGTTGCTGCAGCAGCCGAGCACATAGCTTGCAGGCACCCTAACCTGCCATACAGGCAAAGTACCAGCAGCAGCAGCAGCAGGAGCAGCAGCAACTACAGCAGCAGCAACGGGGCTGCCGCCAGCTCGGCGGGCGGCAGCGGCCGCAGCAACAGCCGCAGCAGCACCTGCTCAACACCAGGAACAGCAGAAGCAACTGCAGCAGCAACAGCAGAAGCAGCAGCAGGCGCAGCATGCCTGGCCGCAGTAGGGTCGCCAGCAGCCCATGGTGGCCGAGAACCAACAGCCGCTGCCGCAGCAGCAGCAGCAGCAGCAGCAGCAGGATTTGCAGCAGCTGCAAGCGCCAGCAGCAAGCAGGTCGTCGTTCTCTCTCTTTAGCACAGATAAGAACAGCAGCAGCAGCAGCAGCAGCAGGAACAGCAGCGGGAGTCCCAGCACGACACTGAGCAGCAGCAGCAGCAACGGCAGCAGCAGCACCTGCAGCAGCGGCAGCAGGGGGCTTAGCCAGGTCGTGGTGCTCGATCATGCCCCGACCCCTTATAGAATCCTTCATCTTGAGACAGCAGCAGAAGCGGCAACTGCTGCTGCTGCTACTGCTAAGGGCAAGCACAAGATGCGGAGCTCTGTGCCGCCGCTGTCTCCTCCAGGCTCAGCAGCAGGCTCAGCAGCAGCAGGAGCAGCAGCAGCAGCAGGAGCAGCAGCAGCAGCGGGGCGGTATTCTGTCTCATCTCGCGCTTCTTCTCTTACCGAATCTGAAGGCAGCTGGCAGCGGACATTCGCTGCAGCACCTGCAGCACCATCAACAGCAGCAGCAGCAGCAGCAGCAGCAGCAGCAGCAAGGGAGGTTATTGACGTAGCTGAGGTTTTATCTCCGGAGACACAAAAAAGAAATTTAAAAGAAGTTGAGAGAGCGCAGCACATCAGCGCAGTCGTCAACGTCACCGCTGGCCTTCAAGTAGGGTTTAGGGTTTAGGGTTTAGGGTTTAGGGTTTAGGGTTTAGGGTTTTGGGTTTAACTTCCGGTTGCTTGTGCGGGGTCTAGGGTTTTTAAGAACTCAATGCTGCACTGCGGGATTTGATTGAGTAGCTAGGGTTTAGGGTTTAGGGTTTAGGGTTTAAGTTTTAGGGTTTTGGTTTTATGGACGCATATGCAGTGTTGATTCCGAAGGGTTTAGGGTTTAGGGTTTAGGGTTTAGGGTTTAGGGTTTAGGGTTTTGCAGGGTGTGTTGGTGCAGCAGCTGCAGCAGCAGCAGGGCGGAGGTTTGTTTGGCGGTTTTTCTGTGGGCAGCAGCATCAGCAGCGCTGCAGCAGCAGACAACAGCAGCAGCAGCAGCTTTCTCCCGTTGCTGCTGGGCGGCGAGCAGCAGCAGCAGCAGCAGCAGCAGCAGCACCGGACCCGCGCAGCTGAAGACTTTGAGCCTTTCTTCGCCTCCCTGGGAGAAGTGCGTCTAAACCCTAAACCCTAAACCCTCACGCAGTTCAAACCCTAAACCCTAATCCCTCACAGAGCTCAAACCCTAAACCCCAATTGGTAGGTACAAGAGGGTAAACCCTAAACCCTAAACCCTCGGCAACCGAAGGAGCGCGCAGTGCGGCTACTCAAACCCTCAACAGTCTTTCAGTCAGCCTGGAGGGCTAAACCCGTCAAACCCTAAACCCTAAACCCCAAACCCTTAACCCTGGTGGGGCCGGGGCTTGGGTGAAGCAGCACAGCTGGTGGTGAATTGCTGCTGCAGGGGCATTCATTTGCTGCTGCATGTCTTTTGCTGCTGCTCAGGACCTTATCCGCTTCGAGCGCAGCAGCAGCAGCAGCAGCAGCAGCAGCAGCAGCGGGGAAGGGTTTGAGTGCAAGCGCAGCAGCCCGGCATTTGATTTGCTGCTGGCTAGCGGTGGATTGTCTTCTAGGCCTCCTGAGGAGCAGCAGCAGCAGCAGCAGCAGCAGAGGGAGCTGTTGCGCAAGCAGCAGCAGCAGCTGCTGCAGCAGCTGCAGCAGGAGATGCCTGCTGCTTTCTTTGAGGCCTCCTTTGATGTCTCTCAGTTCCTCTCGTTGGAGCCGCAGCAGCTGCCAGCACAACTTGAAAAAGTAAACCCCAAAAGAGCATTCAGCGGTCTAGGGTTTAGGGTTTAGGGTTTAGGGTTTAGGGTTTAGACTCCCGATGCTCTGCTACTTAGGGTTTAGGGTTTAGGGTGTGTGTTTTTCTCGGGCTCGCTGGACAAGACAAATTCGGGTTTAGGGTTTAGGGTTTAGGGTTTAGGGTTTAGGGTTTAGGGTTTAGGGTTTGTGCAGTTATCGGACTGGCTAGACAAGGTGGAGACAGGGTTGGTGTCTCTCTTTCCGCCCTTTCCTTTCTTTGCTGCTTCAATTCGTAATATCTACCGCATGCAGCAGCAGGCCCAGCGCCTCATTGCTGCTTCTCAGGAACTCAGGTCAGCCACCACCAGCAGCAGTGGCAGCAGCAGCAGTGGCAGCAGCAGTGGTAGCAGGTGGAGTTGTATGGGGCTATTGCTGCTGCTGCTGCTGCTGCTGTTGCTGCTGGTGCAGGGAGGAGCTGCAGCAAGTTCGATCCCGGGGCGTTGAGCTGGGGCTGAAGATTTTGAGGCTCTCTAAGTACGTGCTGTTGCAGCAGCAAACCATCTGCAGCAGCAGCAAACCATCTGCAGCAGCAGCAGCAGCAGCAGCTTGCGGCTAGAAGCAGAAAGGGGGCTGTCTGGGCCTCTTGCTTGGCCTCGCATCCCTTTGCTGCTGATTCAAGTTGGATTTGTGTCTGTTGCGACTGCTGCTGCTGCTGTTGCTGCTGCTGCTGCTGCTGCTGCAGGCAGCGACAGCAACAGTGCGTGCTGTATCGACAGCTGGAGGCGCTGCAGTCGTTGGGGGCCCTCTGTTCATCACTGCCGCTGCTGCTGCAGCTGCGGGATTGGCGTACTGCTGCGCTGCTGCTGCACAACTCAGCAGAGCTGCTGACGCCTGATTTGCTGCAGCTGCCAGCAGCAAAACACTTCCAGGCACAAGCAGAAGGTGAAGATGCACCTGCTGCTGCTGCTGCTGATGATGATGCTGCTGCTGCTTCTGCTGATGATGATGAAGATGCTGCTGCTGCTGCTTGTGCTGCTTCTGCTGCTGATGATGATGATGCTTCGGCTGCTGCTGCTGGATAGATGCGGCAGTAGCACTTGCTGCTGCTTGAAGATGATGCTGCTGGTGCCTGACTGAAGTGTCTTCTGCTGCAGCAGCAGTTTATTGATGCTGCTGTGCTGCTGCTGTTGCTGCTGCTGCTGCTGTTGGTCCATTGGTTAAAGTGGCGGCAGCCGCTGCAACGCTGCAGGCTGTAGACATCCCTCGATCGCTTCTGCTGCGTTTCTGTTGCTGCTGCTGCTTCTGCTGCTGCTTCTGCTGCTGCTTCTGCTTCTGCTTCTGCTGCTGCTGCTGCTGCACAGAGGAACGCCAGCGGCTGAAGACCGCCACGCAATCAGCTTTTGTCTCCGAGTCCTTGAAGTACTTCTTTGCTGCGCAGCAGGAAGAGGAGACACCTGCTGCTGCTGCTGCTGATGAGGATCTGTTGTCGCGCACCCTAACGACCGCAAGCCTGTGCTGCTGCCCTCCCTCAGAAGCAGCAGCAGCAGCAACAGCAGCAGAAGCAGCAGCAGCAGGCTGGCAGGGATTACGCTGCACGCTGCTTCCAGGGGTATTAGATAATCGTGTGCTGTACAATCCTGCTTCGGGTTCGCTGCTGTTGCTGCTGCCGCCAGCAGCAGCAGCAGCAGCAGCAGCTTTTGAATCTTCCGAGTGGTCCGCAGGTCATACCACTGCAGCAGCAGCAGCAGCAGCAGCTGCTGCTGCTGCTGCACCGTCGGAGCAGCAGGACAGCGTGTGGGTTGCGGTGTCTCCTCAGTTTGCTGCAGCATTTATAAAAGAAGTGTCTCTTCAGGTGTATGGGCAGTTTGCTGAGGGATGGGCGGGGGCTTATAGACTCGACGAGGAGCCTCACGACCCGCAACAGCAGCAACAGCAGCAGCAGCAGCAGCAGCAGCAGCAACAGCAGCAGCAGCAGCGGCGACGGCCCCACAGAGGGTTCGCATGGGAGGAAGTAGGCGTCTCCATTTGCTGCTTTAGCTGCTGAGGGTGTCTCCTCTAGTGCTCCTGCTGCTGTTGCTTTTGCTGCTGCTGCGTTTGCTGCTGCTGTTGCGTTTGCTGCTGTTTTTGCTGCTGCTGCTGTTTTTGCTGCTGCTGCTCGCCACCTTTGTTGCTGCTGCTACCTTTGCTGCTGCTGCTACGTTTGCTGCTGCTGCTGCTGCTGCTTCTGATCAGCGTGTGTGCAGGGAGGCGGGGGCCGAGGCAACGCTCTGCGCTTCTCTCGAAGTGCTGCTGAGTATGGATCTGCTGCAGAAGGCGTTGCTGCTGCTGCGGCAGCAGATCCCAGCTGTATGCCGAGATGTAATGAGGCGAGCTATCATCTTTCTGCTGCACCAAAGAGGAGCACTGCAGCAGCAGCAGCAGCAGCAGCAGCAGCAGCAGGTGCAGCAACAGCAGCAAGGGCAGAAGGTCGGCAGCACTGCCGTCACGGAGACAGATAGGGAAGCCGAAGCTGCGTCTCTCCTGGCAGAGTTGAAGCAAGAAGCAGCAGCAGAAGAGACAGGTGCAGCAGCAGCAGAAGAGACAGGTGCAGCTGCAGCAGAAGAGACAGGTGCAGCAGCAGCAGCAGCAGCAGCAGCGGCTTCCACTGTGCTGCGCCGCGAGACAAGCTCAGCCTTCAATTCAGATGCAGAGGAAGATGCTACGCAGCACCAAGAGCAGCAGCAGCAAGAGCAGCAGCAACAAGAGCAGGAGCAGGAGCAGCAGCAGCAGGACAGGCCAGTGCAGCAGCAGGAGCAGCAGCAACCGCAGCAACAGCAGTCGCAGCAACAAATGCAGCCGCATCAGCAACAGCCGGAGCAGCAACCACAGCAGCAGCCGCGTCAGCAGCAGCAGCAGCAGCAGCAGCAGCAGCGAGTGCGCGCTGCTGAGCTGTCAGCAGCTCTAGGCCAGCTGAGTTCAAGAGAGTTTTGTTTTGTCTTCCGCGACTTGTGCGGGCATGCAGTTGCCGTGGGTAGGCATTAGGTTTGCTGCTGCTGCTGCTGCTGCTGCTCTTGCTGCTGGTGCTGCTGGTGCTGCTGCTGTCTTGGGTTCAAGATAGCAGCAGCAGCATGCGGCTCTCAGAAGCAATCGTGGTTGTGCTGCTGCTGATTTAGAGTATATCTCTGCTGCTGATAATAATGCTTTTGCTGCTGCGACATCTTCAAGTCCTGTAACCTTTGCTGCTTCTGCTGCTGCTGCTGCTGCTGCTTGTGCTGCTGCTGCTGCTGCTGCTGCTGCTGCTGCTGCTGCTGCTGCGCTTAGCATGTCGGGTTGAGTCGTGGCTAACATTTGTGCTGCTGCGCGCCGCGGAGTTGGGTACATTTCGCCTATGCAGCCAGCAGCAGCAGCAGCAGCAGCAGCAGAAGCAGCAGAAGCAAGATGAGAAACAACGGTCGCAGCAGCAGCAAGAGCAGCAGCAGCAGGACCACGAACAGCCGCAGCAGCAGCAGCAGCAGCAGCAGCAGCAGCAGGGAAGTGCAACAGCAGACGACGACTTGTCAGCCTTAGTTGCTGAAGCGGAAGCACTGACACGTAGCTGGCGCTTTATTGCAGCAGCTCTTGTTCGTGTGGCGGAGGTATGCTGCTGCTGTTGCTGCTGCTGCTGTTGCTTCTGCTCCTGTTGCTGCTGCTGCTGCTGCTGCTGCTGCATTTGCTGTTGTCGCTGCTGCTGCTGCGTGCATCCTTCATAGGCGTACGCTTTAGCTGTCCCTTCTTCCCCGCAGCAGCAGCAGCAGCAGCAGCAGCAACCGAAGCAGCAGCAGGAGCAGCAACAGGTGGAGCAGCAACAGGCGCGGCAGCAGCAGTTTGACGCGGGTCTTGAGCGTGAAAGTTTGTTTGATTTTTTTCTGTTTTGTTTGCATGCAGATCTGCCTAGACACCCTAATTACCAAAGTTGTAGCCGTGCTGCAGACGAGAGGGACGCAAGCAGCAGCAAACGCAGCGCAGCTAGCGCAGCTGCTGCTGACAGCAGCAGCAGTAAGTGCTGCCAATTCTGTCTCTTCCCGTCTGTCTCTCTGCTGTGCAGCTGCTGCTGTCTCCTGTCTTTGTCTCGTGTGCTCCTTCGCCTGCTGCTGCTGTTGCTTCTGCTGTATCTAACCACTGCCTTAGCAGCCTGCTGCTGCTGCTGCTGCTGCTGCTGCTGCTGCTTGCAGGCGATGGGGTGTCTGTACGCAGTGCAGCAGCGCCTACGGGCCCGCGTAGCTCAAATTCTGCTGCAGTCCCTCAACGTCACTGTCGTCTTGCTGCAGCAGCAGCGGCAGCAGCAGCAGCAGAAGCAGCAACAGAGCTTAAAGATTGCTTCGGGCTCCCCCGGCAGCGAGAACAGCAAACAGCAGAGCGCTGCTGCTGCTGCTGCCGCCGCCGCTGCTGCTGCTGCTGCTGCTTCGCCCTCTTGGCAGCAGCCTGTCTTCTTCGCAGACTACACCGGTAAGCCCACAAGGAAAAAGACATGCAGCAGCAGCAGCAGCAACAGCAGCAGCAGCAGCAGCAACGAGTTGCAGAGTCGCAATGGGCTCATGGGGGGTTGCGCTGCATTTGCTGCCTCTGTTGCTATTGTTGCTGCTCTTGCTGCTGCTGCTCTTGCTGCTGCTGCTGCTGCTGGTTTTGTGTGTAGGCAGCAACAGCCTGCTGCGGCTGCTGCCTTGCTGCAGCCCCAGCGCTGCATGCAGTCGCTTAAAGAATCTGCGGGTTGATTTTGTGTCTCCTGCTGCTTCCTCCCTTTACCCCTTTCTTCAGTCCCAAAGCAGACGTAAACCCTAAACCCTAAACCCTAAACCCTAAACCCTAAGTTGCAGTGGTGAGCGGTGGGCGTACATAGCAACAGGCCTTTCAGCCTGAGCGAGGAGACAGCACGCGTTTAGGGTTTAGGGTTTAGGGTTTAGGGTTTGTGCAGGCATCTTGGAGGGGGTGCATGAGGCGAGGCTGCTGCAGCTGGAGGTGCTGCTAGCGAAGGAGACTTGGGAGAGACAGCCGTTGCAGCAGTCTCTGCTGCAGCACTTAGAGAAGCTGCTGCTGTCGGTTGAGCCTGCCCCTGCGGAAGCAGCAGCAGCAGCAGGAGCTGCTGCTGCTGCTGCTGCTGCTACAGCTGCAGCAGAAGCTGAGGCAGCAGAACCAACGGCAACTACAGCAGCTTCGCTCTCACCGGGTGCTTCCTTTAGTGTCTCTCCAGCACTAACTGTCTCCCCAGCAACATCAGCAGCAAAGGCAGCAGCAGCAGCAGCAGCAGCAGCAGCCACCAGCAGAGACGTTGTGCTACCCAATGAAGAAACCCTTGCGGCTGTTTCAGCAGGCACCACACCTGCTTCTGGTTGTGCTGATGCTGCTGCTGCTGCTGCTGCTGCTGCTGCTAGCGGGCGCGTGGTCGCCAGCATAGGGCCCAGAGGCCTAATTCTTGATGGGGAGGAATTTGCTGTTGCTCCTTCAGTGCTCGTCACTCTTGCGGTCAGCTGCTGCTGCTGCTGCTGCTGCTTCTCGTGCAAGCGCTGATGCTTCTGCTGCAGTTTCTGCTGCTGCTGTTGCTGCGGGCTTGGGCTTCTGTCTCCATCTCTGTTTGCTCGTCCCAATTGCAAGCGCAGTTTGCTTCTCATTTTGCTTGAGGGGCAGTGTCAATAAGCCTGTCGGGCTCTTTGCTGCTGCTGCTGCTGCAGCAGCAGCAGCAACAGCAGTGCAAGCATAAGTGTTAGTTAGCTCGTTGTCTGTTTGTTTGTTTGTTTGTTTGTTTGTTTGTTGCTCAGCTTATGCAGGAGTATCTGTCTCTTGCACTGTGGCTGCCTTCGCTGCAATCTGCTGCTTTTACTTCGTTAGGCGATTTGCTGCTGCGCTTCGTTCGGGTGTCTGTGCAACTAACTGTGGGCGGTGGGGCGGTGCAGCGGCAGCAGCTGCAGCGCATTACTGCTGGCGTTCTTGGAAGGGTTGCTAGGTCCTTTGATTGTCTCCTGCTGCTGCTTCAGAGACTCATAGATAGCCTCAGTCAGCAGCAAAGGCTGCAGCAGCAGCAGCAGCAAGGGCAGCAGCAGCAGCAGCACCAAGAGCAGCAGCAGCAGCAGCAAGAGCAGCAGCAGCATAGACGGTTGAACACCATTGAAGAGGAATGGCATCCCCCAGAAAGACCGCCTCTGCTGGTGCTGCTGCAGCAGCAACCCGAAGGAGAGAGGCAGCGCATGCAAGACGGAGCAGCAGCTGCAGCACAGCAGCAGCAGCAGCAGCAGCGCAAGAGGGAGTTGGAAAGTGCAGCAAAAGCCTTTCTTCTGAGTGTGCGTCGCTCGCAGCAGCAGCAGAAGCTGAGTCCAGCTGCGTTTGCTGCCAGCCCTGCTGCAGCAGCAGCAGCAGCAGCAGCAGCAGCAGCAGCAGCAGCAGCTGAGGAAGACTTGGCAGCTGGTGAAGATCCGTTCATGCCTCCCCTCCTTCCTATTGAAGCTGTGTCTCCGGTGTATAGGCAGCTGGGCCTTGTCTCTTCAGGGCTTAAAACTGCTGCTGCGCTGCAGCGGCTGCGGCAGACAGCCAGCGGCATCGCCCATAGCAAGTCTCTTGTACGCTGCTGCTGCTGCTGTTGCTGCTGCTGCTCCTGCTGCTGCGGCTGTTGCTGCTGCTGATCCTGCTGCTGTTTCCTGTTGTTTCCTGCTGGAGGCAGGCGTGTGGTGTAGAGTTTGCTGCAGAGCGTCTCTTAGCAGCAGCAGCTGCTGCAGCAAGAGCAGCTGCTACACTGCTTGACTTCATGTTGCGTATCCTGTTGCTGCTGCTGCTGCTGCTGCTGCTGCTGCTGCTGCTGCTGCAGGTGTTTGAAAAGCTGGTGGCAATATTGGTGGATCGCTTTGAGTTCCACGCGACCGTTTGGCTGTCTGCGCCTCATCCCCCTGCAGCAGCTAGAAGCAGCAGCAGCAGCAGCAGCAGCAGCAGCAGTGACCAGCAGCAGGCGAGCGAGCTGCCGCTGCCGCACGACGCACTGAGGGAGTTGGTGAAAGATATTTCTTTAATGTACAAAGTAAGAAGAAGTTCCTGCTGCTGTTGCTGCTGCTGCTGCTGCTGCGGGTGTTGGGTTAGTTCGCGTTGCTGCACCGCCTACATTCACAGTGCTGCTGCTGCTGCTGCTGCTGCTGCTGCAGGTGTTAGCACGCGTGCTGCCTCAGGAGAGCGTCAGCCGCCTCTTTGCGTTGGCCTTCCACTCGATGGCCGATATATTTGCAGCAAAGCTGCAGCAGCTGCAGCAGCAGCAGCAGCAGCAAGGATCCGCTATTGCTGCTGCCAGCAGCAGCCTTCAGGTTCAACGCCTCGTGAGTACAGATGCGTCTCCCGCTGCTGGTTTGGCTGCAGAGCCGACAGCAGCAGCAGCTGCTGCTGCTGCCGCTGCTGCGCCCCAAGTTGCAGGGAAGCCTGTAGCTTCAACGCCAGCAATAGCAGCAGCAGCAGCAGCAGCAGCAGGAGAGCAGCAGTGGAGTGTAGGGGATCGATTGTGTCTTGACTGTCTCTGTTTATATGAAAGCCTGAGGGGCTTTCCTTTGCTGCTGCAGCCGCTGTCTCTTCTAGTCTGCGATCTCTTCAGTGCATGCAGCAAAGTATACACCCCTTCACCAAATGTACAGCAACTCCTAGAGGCAGCGCTGCCACTCTGAACCAGCAGCAGCAGCAGCAGCAGCAGCAGTGGTTGCAGCAGCAGTGCAGACGGCGGCAGCACACAACTGCAGCAGAAACAGCAGCAGCGGTACTTCGCTGCATTTTAAACTCTGCTGCTGTTGCAGTTGCTGCGGCTGATGCTGCTGCTACAGTTGCTGCTGCTGCTGTTGGTGGGGGCAGTGCGGCTGTGGGGTCACAGCGCACCTTTTGCAAATGGTGCGGCGTTCAGCGCGACTTGCTGCTGTGCCTGCAGCAACAGCAGCAGCAGCGACAGCAGCACGTGCAGCAGCAGCAGCAGGTACAGCAGCTGGTGCTGCTGCTTGTTAGCTGCTGCTGCTGCTTAGCTGAGTGCCTTTTCGTATGTTCACTATCCCTTATTTGCGCAGATATTGGGGTGTACGTACACCTCAAAGCTAGCAAATGAAGACAGCCTCCTGTGGCGGCCGATGCTGCTGCTGCTGCAACACAGGCAGCAGCAGCAGCAGCAGCACGCGCATGCAGCAAGCAGCGCGGCAGCTAATGGATGAGCCAGCCCTTGGATTTAATTAGAGGCTGCTTCGCCTCTTCTTACCTTTTTTTGCTGTGGGGTGTACATACACCTCAGGGTTTGTGAGGTGTATATATATCTCGGGGTGTACATACACCCCGCAATGCGGCAGCAGCACAACGCTTAAATAAATTATTTACTTTTTGCTGAGGAATAAACAAATACAGAAAATGTCGTCTTAATGCATCTGCACACCGCGGCAACAGCAGCAGCGCGCAGCAGCAGCTAATCTGAATGCTGCTGCTGCTGCTGTTGCTGCTGCTGCTGCTGCTGCTGTTGCTGCTGCTGCTGCTGCAGCAACAGCAGTCACGCGTTCGGCATGAGAAGCATCGCTTCAAAAGGTGCAAACCCTAAACCCTAAACCCTCGCGGCCTTAACCCTAAGCCCCTAAACGCTGTACCCTCTCCCGACTGTCTGTAAGCCAGGCGCAGCAGCAGCAGCAGCAGCAGCAGCAGCAAACGGCGCTGTCTCACAGCAGCACCAACAGAAAAGCCAGCTGCAACAGCGCACCAGCAGTAGCTGCTGCTGTTGCCGCTGCTGGTGTTGCTACTGCTGCAGTTGCTGCTGCTGCTGCTTGTCGACTGCCGCTAGCTGCCTCCTGGGCTCGCTGTGAGCCCCCTTCAAACCCTAAAAAAGGGTTTAGGGTTTAGGATTTAGATGTCTTCAAAGAGTTCATCTTGCCTTGGAGAGTCTTGAGTGAACAAAGAAGGAGAAGAGAACAGCAACGCTTCGGGTGTCTCTGCTGTTTCCCTTGGTGCTGCAGTTGCTGCTGCTGCTGCTGCTGCTGCTGTTGTTGCTGCTGCTGCTACTGCTGGAGCTGCTGCTGGTGTAGGGGTAAAGAGGTATCCGCCGGTGCAGTTGCTGCTGCTCATACTCAACACGCTCAGCAGCAGGGGATCCTGCTGCTGCTGCTGCGGCATGCTGCTGCTGCTGCTGCTGCTGCATCTTCCCCCTCCATGGGGCGGCAGCATATTCACGGGTCGCGCTGCTGCAGAGCGGTGCAGCACAACCAAGTGCGGCTGCTGCTGCAGCGGTTGCTGCTGCAGCGGCTGCTGCTGCAGTGGCTGCTGCTGCAGCGGCTGCTGCTCTAACGGCTGCTGTTGCAACCGCTGCTGCTGCAGCGGTAGCTGCTGCGGCTGATGCAGAAGGAGCTGCTGCTGCTGCGGGAGTTGCTGCTGCTGCGGCGGCTGGTGCAGAAGGAGCTGTTGCTGCTGCAGGGGTTGCTGCTGCAGGGGTTGCTGTAGCTGCTGCAGGGGCTGCTGCCGCTGTTCTATAAACGGCTGCTGATAAGGCAGGGATTTCTGATGCTGTGACTGTAGGAGTTGCTGCTGCAGTTGTTGTTGCTGCTGCTGCAGCGGCTGCTGCGGCGAGGCTTCCCGCTGCAGCAGCTCCAGCGCTTGGGGGGCAAGCGTTTCGCTGTGAGCCTGCTGGCGTTGCTGCTGCAGCTGCTGCAGCAGGATTTGCTGTTGCTGCAGTTCTCGCTGCAGCTCCTTCTGTTGCTGCAGGAATGCTTGTTGCTGCTGCTGTTGCTGCTGCAGCAGCTGCTTCTGCTGCTGGTGCCGCAGCAGGCTTGCATGCAACGGTGGAGGTAAAGCCCATGAGGCAGGCAGCGGTTGCTGCTCTTGTTGCTGCGGCTGTTGTTGATGCTGCTGCAACTGCTGATGCTGTTGCTGTAACTGCTGCTGCTGTTGCTGCTGTAATTGCTGCTGCTGCTGCAGATGGTGGGGAATAGATTGCAATTTCAGGCTCTGGGATGGCTGCTGCTGCAGCTGCTGCTGCTGCAACTGCTGCTGCTTCAACTGCTGCTGCTGCACAAGCTGCTGCTGCACCTGCTGCTGCTGCACCTGCTGCTGCTGCTGCTGCTGCAGGCTGCAGGCAGCGAGAGGTATGGGGTCGTGTTGCTTAAGAAATACCTGCAGCGTCCGCTGCTGCAGCTGCAGCTGCTGCAGCTGCTGCTGCAAACTCTGCAGCTCCTGTTCAGTAGGAATAGATGCAGCGGTTTGCTGCTGAAGTGCTCCCTCGCTCCTCCTTTCTTGCTGCTGCTGCTGCGGCTGCGTGGCTAGCTGCTGCTGCTGCAACTGCTGCGGCGGCAGCGGAACTGCTTGCTGCAGCGCTGCTGTGTGCTGCTGCTGCTGCTGTTGCTGCTGCGTTTGCTGCAGGCGCTGCACAGCAGGACGGACTGCAAAGCCTATGAGCTGTGGCTGCTGTTGTTGCTGCTGCTGCTGTTGCTGTTGGTGATGCTGCTGCTGCTGCTGCTGCGGCGGCGGCGGCAGCGACAGCCAAGTCTGCTGCAGCTCCTGCACGTGTGGCTGTTCAGGTAGGAAGCCCGAGCTTCTGCACGCCCGTTTCTCCTGCTCCTGCTGTTGCTGCTGCTGCTGCTGCTGCGGTGGCTTAAGGAGGTAAGCATAGGCAGCAGCAGGTTCATCGCTCATAGATAAATACCGCAGCAGCAGCCGCTGCATGCCCGGCCCCAACTCCGGTAGCTCCATGCTGCTGCTGCTGCTGCTGCTGCTGCTGCGGTGTGCATGCACAAGTGCCATAGTGAGCACAGTAGTGCCGGTGCTGGCAGCAGCAGCAGCAGCAGCAGCAAGCTGCTGCTGCTGCTGCTAGTCAGCCGCCTCAGATTTTGCTGCTGTTTTCATGGCTGTTTTGTCTATTTTATTTGTCTCTTGCTTTAATTAAAGTTTTGCTGCAGCTGCCTGCAGCGCATGCTGCTGCTGCGGCTGTGTGCATGCACAGCCTGTCGGCAGCAGCCCCCTTAGCAGCAGCAGCAGCAGCAACAGCAGCAACTGCAGCAGCAGCAACAACACTAACTACACCGGAAAGCGAGAATGCAGATTCTGATGTTGCTGCAGCCAACTCGGGAGTCTACGGAGCAGCAGCAGCAGCAACAACAGCAGCAACAGCAGCAGCTGTTGCTGCAGGACCCCTCGTAGTTCCTGTTGTTTGCTGCAGAGCCATGGAAGCCGCCAGACACTCCCCCCAGAACCCGCAGGCAGCAGCAGCAGCAGCAACAGCAGCAGCAACAGCAGCAACATTAGGGGCAGCAGCAACAGGAGTAGGAGCAGCAGCAGCATCAGCAGCATCAGCTGCAACAACTCTGCAAAAGGAGACAAACAGCACAGCAGCACCTTCGGACGCAGATACAGCTCAAACATCTTCCCGAGCAGCAGCAGCAGCAGCACCACCACCACCAGCAACAGCAGCAGCAGCAGCAGCAGCAGCAGCAGCAGCAGGATCGTACTGGGGACAGGATTTGCTGCAGGCTTGTGGGGGAGAGTCTCCTCGCGTAGCGATTTGTTTATGTGCACACATTCGTTTGCTGCAGTTTGTCTTTGTTGAGGAGCCCAAAGTTATTAAATTTTCGCTGTTTAATCAGCAAATCCATTTGCTCTGGCTTCAGGGATTCGTCACCCAGTCAGACATACTCATGCTCCTGCTGCTGCTGCTGCTGCTGTTGCTGCTGATGCTGCTGCTGCTGCTGATGCTGGTGCTGCTGGGGGTGGTGGTG